GGATTCGGCGCGAATCGAATTTTTCCTAATATTCTAAACGAATTCCACTTCGCCAAGTTCGATTCGCTCATCTCTAACTATAATGTAACTGCTATGTGAATATTTATACAGTAGGTATTTCAGCTATTGGGGGGTCAATACTTGCAGACTTTGTGACCTCAAATGAAGCTTCTGATGGGCCACGCATACATTTCCAATTTTGCTTACCAAGAAAAGTAAATATCATTCTATTGCTTTAGAATTTAACTGGCATTTTGGATGGAAGTTTCTAAAGATAGAAAATTCTGGTATAATAAAGTGGAAACAATATACTTTAGGTCAGGGTTTCTCAACCTGGGTTCTGCAGAACCCTAGGGTTCTGCAAGAGTTTTCTAGGAGTTCTGCCATGATCTACCCATCAATCACAGACAGCTAATAGGTAGATCGCAATCCCAACATAGAAAGTGGTGCAGGCAAGCATAGGGTTTCTTCATTGTTCTCCGGTAGCCCCTCCTCCCCTCCTGTCCATCCCAGGTGCTTATATGTGACATCACCTGGGATGGAGATGAAGAACTGGGGGGGGGGGGGTGCTGGCAGGGAACAGTGCTCTCATGTAATGTGTCCTACCCTCATGTAATGTGTCCTACCCTCATGTAATGTGTCCTACCCTCATGTAATGTGCCCTGCTCTCATGTAATGTGTCCTACCCTCATGTAATGTGCCCTGCTCTCATGTAATGTGTCCTACCCCTCCTCATGTAATGTGCCCTGCTCACATGTAATGTGTCCTACCCTTGTGCAATGTGACCTGCTCTCATGTAATGTGTCCTTCTCTCATGTAATGTGCCCTGCTCTCATGTAATGTGCCCTGCTCTCATGTAATGTGTCCTACCCTCTTGAAATGTGTCCTACCCTCATGTAATGTACCCTGCTCGCAAGTAATGTGCCCTGCTTGCAAGTAATGTGTCCTACCCTCATGTAATGTGCCCCACCCTCATGTAATGTGTCCTACCCTCGTGTAATGTGTCCTACCCTCGTGTAACGTGTCCTACCCTCGTGTAACGTGTCCTACCCTCGTGTAACGTGTCCTACCCTCGTGTAACGTGTCCTACCCTCGTGTAATGTGCCCTGCTCTCATGTAATGTGTCCTGCCCTCGTGTAATGTGTCCTACCCTCATGTAATGTGCCCTGCTCTCATGTAATGTGTCCTACCCTCATGTAATGTGTCCTACCCTCATGTAATGTGTCCTGCCCTCGTGTAATGTGCCCTGCCTCTCTCATGTAATGTGTCCTACCCTTGTGCAATGTGTGCTCTCATGTATGTGTCCTACCCTCATGTAATGTGTCCTACCCTCATGTAATGTGTCCTACCCTCGTGTAATGTGCCCTGCTCTCATGTAATGTGTCCTACCCTCATGTAATGTGCCCTGCTCTCATGTAATGTGTTCTACCCTCATGTAATGTGCCCTGCTCTCATGTAATGTGTCCTACCCTCGTGTAATGTGCCCTGCTCTCATGTAATGTGCCCTCTCATGTAATGTGTCCCACCCTCGTGTAATGTGCCCATGCTCTCATGTAATGTGTCCTACCCTCATGTAATGTGCCCTGCTCTCATGTAATGTGTCCTACCCTCATGTAATGTGTCCTACCCTCATGTAATGTGTCCTACCCTCGTGTAATGTGCCCTGCTCTCATGTAATGTGTCCTACCCTCATGTAATGTGCCCTGCTCTCATGTAATGTGTTCTACCCTCGTGTAATGTGCCCTGCTCTCATGTAATGTGTCCTACCCTCGTGTAATGTGCCCTGCTCTCATGTAATGTGTCCTACTCTCGTGTAATGTGCCCTGCTCTCATGTAATGTGTCCCACCCTCGTGTAATGTGCCCTGCTCTCATGTAATGTGTCCTACCCTCGTGTAATGTGCCCTGCTCTCATGTAATGTGTCCTACCCTCGTGTAATGTTCCCTGTTCTCATGTAATGTGTCCTACCCTCGTGTAATGTGCCCTGCTCTCATGTAATGTGTCCTACCCTCATGTAATGTGCCCTGCTCTCATGTAATGTGTCCTACCCTCATATAATGTGCCCTGCTCTCATGTAATGTGTCCTACCCTCATGTAATGTGCCCTACCCTCATGTAATGTGTCCTGCTCTCATGTAATGTGTCCTACCCTCATGTAATGTGCCCTGCTCTCATGTAATGTGTCCTACCCTCATGTAATGTTCCCTGTTCTCATGTAATGTGTCCTACCCTTGTGCAATGTGCCCTGTTCTCATGTAATGTGTCCTACCCTCATGTAATGTGCCCTGCTCTCATGTAATGTGTCCTACGCTCTCGTGTAATGTGCCCTGCTCTCTGTAATGTGTCCTACCCTCGTGTAATGTGCCCTGCTCTCATGTAATGTGTCCTACCCTCGTGTAATGTGCCCTGCTCTCATGTAATGTGTCCTACTCTCGTGTAATGTGCCCTGCTCTCATGTAATGTGTCCTACCCTCGTGTAATGTGCCCTGCTCTCATGTAATGTGTCCTACCCTCGTGTAATGTTCCCTGTTCTCATGTAATGTGTCCTACCCTCGTGTAATGTGCCCTGCTCTCATGTAATGTGTCCTACCCTCATGTAATGTGCCCTGCTCTCATGTAATGTGTCCTACCCTCATATAATGTGCCCTGCTCTCATGTAATGTGTCCTACCCTCATGTAATGTGTCCTACCCTCATGTAATGTGCCCTGCTCTCATGTAATGTGTCCTACCCTCATGTAATGTTCCCTGTTCTCATGTAATGTGTCCTACCCTCGTGCAATGTGCCCTGTTCTCATGTAATGTGTCCTACCCTCATGTAATGTGCCCTGCTCTCATGTAATGTGTCCTACCCTCGTGTAATGTGCCCTGCTCTCATGTAATGTGTCCTACCCTCGTGTAATGTGCCCTGCTCTCATGTAATGTGTCCTACCCTCGTGTAATGTGCCCTGCTCTCATGTAATGTGTCCTACCCTCGTGTAATGTGCCCTGCTCTCATGTAATGTGTCCTACTCTCGTGTAATGTGCCCTGCTCTCATGTAATGTGTCCTACCCTCGTGTAATGTGCCCTGTCTCTCATGTAATGTGTCCTACCCTCGTGTAATGTGCCCTGCTCTCATGTAATGTGTCCTACCCTCATGTAATGTGCCCTGCTCTCATGTAATGTGTCCTACCCTCATGTAATGTGCCCTGCTCTCATGTAATGTGTCCTACCCTCATGTAATGTGCCCTGCTCTCATGTAATGTGTCCTACCCTCATGTAATGTGCCCTACCCTCATGTAATGTGCCCTGCTCTCATGTAATGTGTCCCTACCCTCATGTAATGTGTCCCTGTTCTCATGTAATGTGTCCTACCCTCATGTAATGTGCCCTGCTCTCATGTAATGTGTCCTACCCTCATGTGCAATGTTCCCTGTTCTCATGTAATGTGTCCTACCCTCGTGCAATGTGCCCTGTTCTCATGTAATGTGTCCTACCCTCATGTAATGTGCCCTGCTCTCATGTAATGTGTCCTACCCTTGTGCAATGTGCCCTGCCCTAATGTAATGTGCCATGCTTCCACATAATGTACCCTGCTTCCACTTAATGTTCCCTGCTCCCATATAATGTGTTTTACAATCAACAGAAAATTCCCCAGCACAATTACCAGATAGCCTGCAACAAAACCAAATTAGCCCTGCCTAACAGTTTTCATTAAAACAGAGGTTTTAGTTGCACACATTTTCAAATACATGTGAAAGTCACAGTGCCTCACCAAGGCTCCTCTGTATACTGTGCTGCTAAACTCTATAATTTTCAAAGTCTCTCAAGCTGGAGCACATATAGCAGTGGATACATCAAGGGCAGGTTTGTCAGCTGAATTTGACATGGGGATAAAGTGGATACCTTCAGCTGGAATTGTGCTCTTGCTGGATGTCCATTGTGTCCCTGTGCCTTTGAGGAGGAGTGGGCTCCCTCCAGGCAAACTGCCCTTGGGGACAGTCAGCCAATCTGAGACACTATGCAAGCAGTCACAGTCCTTAAGCTGGGACCTCTGGCATCTCTTCCTCAGTGAGCAGTTCTGTACCAAAGGCTTCAGGCAAAAGGCACCTACATCCCAGCTGAGCTTTCACAGCTCCAGCAAGTTTACTTAAGTCCAGCTTCCTGTCCTTAGCCATACCACCTGCTGTAGAAGTAATATCTCAGGAACATGCACATGCCTCCCCCCTCCCAGGGGAAAGGAGACTGATCAGATCCTTCCAAATATTGACCCCTCCCCCAGCCACACCTTCTGGGTCAACATCGCAGGGATTGGCTAGGGTCAGGTAACTATTCATAGCATGACATAACATCCTCCCACACTATTGCTGGAACATTCTTCCAGCAGCAAACAGGAGCAATGAGCCACCAGGCTTAGGAAAAACATGAACAGACCTGGAAAATAAATTGCAGCTCAATTGGTTACACCAAAGCAAAATACTAAATGTAGCTAACCAGCTAGATATCAATGAAAAAAGAGTAGTTCCTACTTTCTGATTTCATTACAGAATAGATCTTTTACTAATATTTCAGATGCATTCTAAAACTGAACACCTAATGAGCAGCTAAATACAAAGTTGAAATGCCTATATGTGAAATATGTTACCTGCCGAGTTATTTGTAATTTGGTATTCGTAATTCTTGGGATAGACATTCACCTGATAGACAGTGTGCAGCCAGGTCTTTCGTGGAGACTCCAGGATTTAAGCAATACTACATGATAAAGAATTTGCCCCAGCCGCTGGCTGGAGGGAAAAAAAGGATCTGCACACTGTTGACATCATCCTTGTATTCTCTCTTTTAACCACTAGCCTACAGGGCACTTATACCCCCTTCCTGCCCAGGCCAATTTCCAGCTTTCAGCTCTGTCACACTTTGAATGACAATTGCGTGGTCATGCAACTCTGTATCCATATGACATTTTTATCATTTTTTTGAGACAGATAGAGCTTTCCTTTGGTGGTATTTAATCACCTCTGGGATTTTTATTTTTTTCTTAAACAAACCAAAAACCACTGAAAATTTTGAAAAAAAAAAAGTTTTTTTTTAGTTTTTGTTATACAATTTTGTAAATAAGTGATTTTTCTCCTTCACTAATGTGCGCTAATGAGGCTGCAGTGATGGGCACTGATAGGCTGCACTGATGGACACTGATAGGCACTGATGAGGAGGCACTGGTAGGTTGCACTGATGGGCATTGACAGGCATCACTGATGGGCACTGAAAGGCAGCACTGATACATGACACTGATACATGACACTGAGATATGGCACTGATAGGTGGCACTGATAGGCAGCACTGACTGGCACTGTTAGGCGGCACTGACTGGCACTGTTAGACAGCACTGACTGGCACTGATAGGCTGCACTGACTGGCACTGATGCGCACTGATAGGTGACACTGACTGGCACTGATAGGTGGCACTGATTGGCAGCACTGATAGGTGGCACTGATGGGTGACATTGAAAGGCAGCTCAGATGGGCACTGATATGTGGCATTGATGTGCACTGGTATGCACTGATATGTGGCATTGATGTGGCACTGATGGGCACTGGCACGTGGCACTGATGGGAACTGGCACGTGGCACTGATGAGCACTGACAGGTGGCACTTCTGTGGCCACACTGATCATCAGGGCACACTGATCATCAGTGTCCTGATCATCAGTGTACATGTCCCCTCCGCAGAAAGCCGATTACTGGCTCTCCTCTCCTCTCGAGCTGTCAGCGTGACAGCTCGAGAGGAGAGAAATGCTGATAACCGGCATTTCCGTGTTTACATGTGATCAGCTGTGATTGGACACAGCTGATCACATGACCGAGCCGACATCTTCGGCTCTTTCCGTGATCCGCTGTGTCCGAGGGACACAGTGCACCGGCGATCGCCGCACTGCGCGCTCCCTGAGCCGTGCATGCACAGTGAGAATGGTAGGACGTCATATGACGTCCTATCAGAACGAGAGAACCACCTTGCGCCCGTCATTGTACTATAGGGCGGGCGGAAGGTGGTTAAACATGCTCCCTCCCATGTTAGACTGTCATTGTGCAAAACAGTAGAACTCTGATTGGGTCAAAGTGCTTCTCCTTCTCTCCTAAGTCTCCGCACTTACAGTAGGCTAACATCTCCTCCACCCGACCTCCCCAAACCCCTACCTGTGACGAGGAAACGTGGTGAAAGGGGTTGCTGCGGCAGGATGGTCCCCGCTGGATGGACGGAAGAGCTGTGGGAGAGCTAGTCTGGGAGACGGGGCCTTCGGATGCGGTGCTTGGTGGCGAGGGCGTGTCTGGTTGCTCGGAGACGTGGAGGAGCGGTGCGGCCCACGTGGTCAGCCGCTAAGCAGTGCTGGGAGACCAGGAAGCCGGCCGGTGTTCGGAGCGGAGGGAGAGCAGCTGCCCGGCTTATGGCTCACTAAATGAAGTCCTGTTGCGGGTCAAATAACCGGACTTTTTTTCTGCCGGCAGACTATCTGGTGCCCAGCTAGCTAGCTCTCGATCTGCAGTCCCCTATGTTAAACCTAGAACCCGGAGCCCTGGTGGTCGGTCCTTACCCGGAGATCTGCCTGCCGGTGCTTATTATTAGCCGAAGACCTGACCGCTGGCCAACTACATGGAGGCATACTTGGTGTCTACTGTTCGGGGTCCTGCTGATTGGCCCACTGTTCAGAGCCCTGTCTGTGAAGGAAAGACACTGGGGATTGGAGAGACAAAGGTGGAAGATACACTTGGGAGCCCCTAAATACACACACTGCCCAGCCGAACAACAGTGGAAGAGAGCTCCTAGCCGGGTCACGAGAGGAAGAGTGACACGAGGAGGGTGAGTGACTTTGGTCGACACTTGATAAGTATGGTCCCCTGTTGTAAAACTGCTTAGGGGAAGAAGTGTAATGAGAGTAAAAAGGGGACCCCCCTTGACTGGGGAATGTAAAGGAGTGGAAAAGAGAAGAGGTAAACGAAAGAAAAGTGTGAAAACCAAGTGAGTGGATAAGGTGCGATTTGTTTATTAATAATTGGTCTCTCCATAACCCCGAGCCTATAAAGAAGAATAAGATACATAGAAGAATGGAAAAATAAAAAATTGCAAAAGGAAGTGGGCCTAAAGGGACTCAGACCGGTACCATTAAAAATGATACCTCCCAGGGAAATATAACTCCAGAAAGATCTCAGGGAAATAGTGGAAAAGGAGAAGTAGACCTAAGTCTGGAATGTAGCCCTAGACTATCACTAGGCCTTGACATTAGTAGCCAACAAATATCAGCTAATACAGGGATGGAGACAGAGTTTACAAATACCAAATAAAAAGGAAATGGCAGAAATGTTTAAAGGTCTGGAAAAAAACAATAAAACAAGAAATTGTAAATATTCGAAATGATCTGGGACATCTCTTGGTGAGAGTGGAAGAAAAACGGAGGAAAAAAGTATTTTAAAAAACAATCCCAAATTATCTTCTGAATTAGAAAAAGAAATAATTAATATTTCTAGGGAAAGCCCGTAAGAAAAACTGCGCTATAAGACTGAGATACAAGAAAATAGGGAATATGGAGGAGAAACAATTTAGGATTACGAGGAGTCCCGTTCAGAGAATTCAAAAGGGAGAAAATTTGCAAGAGGTGGTCTGTAAAATATTAAACTCCATAATGGACAATACTGATATGGAAAGGATTAAATGGAAGGAATCTTTAAGACAAGGAAATTCCAAGGAAATTCCGGGGAAAGGAAAGGCCAAGAGATATAAGAGCATATGACTTGTTAAATTTTGTGACTTCCTAGATAAAGATAAAATTTGGAAAAGATTAAGGGAAAATCAGTAATCATGTACGAAGGAAAAGAAATACAGATATATGCGGATTTGTCATCAGAGACTCTGTGGAGAAGGAGAATCCTTAGACCTCTATTGGAAAGATTGAAAGAACAGAACGTCCAATATAGATGGGGGGACCCCTGAGTGCCTAATAGGGTGGGAGAAATGGAACTACAGCATATCTCAGGTTCCCAGAAGTATTCATTGTGATTAGCAAAGTACAAGTGAGTTAGTATTTTTTGTGATAGACTTAAACTACAAAGACTGGAGATCCTGGTTGGGAAGAAGAAACAGGGGAGTGGGGGAAAAAAGGGGAGAATAAAAGGAAAGGAGTCATCAGAGCGCTGATGCAGTGCATGAGGGGGGGAGTGGGGGGAGGGGGGGGGGGAGGGGGGGGGGGCGAGGGGGAGAGAGAGATAATGTGGGGTTTTTTTTTTTTTTTTTTTTGTCTCTCTCTCTCCCTCCTGTCTTTTTCTGCTTCTCCCAACCGTCTCCTAACCACTATTATTGAGATATTCAGGGAGGAGTTAGGGGTTTGAGGGGGAGGTTGGAGAAGGGGGAAAAGTGGTCCATGGTGGAGTTCTTTATTTTTTTTTGCCCTGAGATTAAATCAAAGGTGGATTGTATTTCCACAAATGATTAGTAGGGCAAATAGTAGGCCTAAAAAGAGGGGGGGGAGGAGGGAGGGAGGGGAGGGAAGTTGGGAGGGGGGAAGCTGGGTGGAGGGAGGAAGGGCGAGGGAGGGAGGGGAGGAGGTACGGGGTCAATACTCTGCAAGACAGAAGAGATAAAGAGGAAAAGGCAATCAGGAAGAGGGATGGAGCCCAATTGGGAACGATGGAAGAAATACAGTTTATAACAAATAATGTGAACGGGCTGAGTTGCCCAGTGGAAGAGATTTAGGTTGTTTAATGAGTTACATCATAGGGCGACGTCAGTGGTATTTTTACAGGAGACATCACTTTTGAGATAGAGGCAAATATTGTAAAAAATATTAGATCCAAAAGTCTACTATCCAACATGGTACTATGCCAGATTCTCCAAGTAATAAGAGCAAAAGGGGTTGCAATAGGTTTTGGCAAAGAAAATATGAGATTTGAGCTGGAGGATAGAAGAACACCGACCCGGAGGGGAGGTTTTTTATTCTTAAAAGGTAAACTTCAGGGGCGATTGAGAGTGCACTTTAGCCAATATATACTGCCCCCTAATAAAAAAATCCGGAGATATATATGAAGGGTCTGTTAAAAAAATTAATGGAATTTAAAAAAGGTGCGTTTGATAGTAGCTGGGAGACCTAAATTTCTGTATGGACCCACAAAAGGATAAGACCTCTTCTGTGCAAAGAGAGGGGAGTAGGTCTCTGAGAGCTTTTAAAAAAGCGATGCATGAATACCAACTAGTGGACACCTGGAGAATAACGCATATGAAAGACAGATACTATTCCTTCTTCTCGAATGCACACGAGATATACTCGAGATTAGACTACATCTTAATAGACCACCAACTGATAGATCATCTAGGTTAAAAATCGACATAGAAACAAGGACGTTTCTCGGATCATGCTCCGGTTGTGATGAAAATGAGATGGGGAGGAAGGTGGACTGGAGGATTGGGGTGGAGAGGTTAAACGAGGCTCTCTTCCTCTGGATGAGGATATAGTTCAAAAAATCGAGAAAGAGAAGAAAAAGGTTTTATTTAAGGAAAGAGAGGAAAGAAGGGGGGGGAGGAAGAGATATAAAGAAGAAGAGGATTTAAGGAGAACGAAAAGAGACAGGGAGATCGAGTATCGATAGCTACAGTTTGGGAAAGCCACAAGGTATTTATAAGAGGAATCTTGATCGCGGATCGGCAGCGTGTGCCCAAGGAAAAAGAAAAGAAAGAAGAGAGAGGGTCAGTAGGCTCTAAAAGAAAATATTGGAACTGGAGCAAGATCCATAAGAAGAAAAATAACAATAGATACGAGACAGAAGCTATGGATAAAAAAGATGAGCTAGAGAGGTTGATGGAGGAGGAGAAGAGAAGAGTATACAAACAGGGTTTTGAACGAAAGATATAGATGGGGAGACAGACCAGGAAGATAATTTAATGAGAGCCTTGAATAAAAAGAAAAATAGGAACCTACATAGAAAAGATTAAAAAGTTCAAAGGGGGTGGGGGGGGGGGGAGTTTGGTCCACTCAAATAAAGAGATTATTAAAGTGTTTACGGAGTATTATAAGAAATTATATAATATCAGTATACCCAGGCCCGCCCTCTAAAAGAAGCCCAAGAGGAAATTAATAAAAAAAAGATGACATACTTAAAAAATGCGGGGATTATTACCAAAACTAATGTGAGAAGTTGAAATCCCTAGACTATGCAGAAATATCTCCCAGGAAGGAGAAATTAAAAGAGCATTGAAAGCACACAGGGGGGGAAAAAGCCCAGGCCCGGCCGGATGGTTTATACAGTTAGGTACTATAAGAAATTCCGTCTGAGGTATTGCAACTACCCGAAGCTGGGAGAAATATATGAATGCTCTGGGAGGTGGGCACGGAAAATGAGGAGAGAATCCCTACAGGCCCATGTAGTACTTATTCATAAGGAAGGAAAAGATCCATCTCAGTTGCTCCAGCTATAGACACTATTTCATTACTGAACACTGACACTAAACTGTATGCAAAGGTTGTTAGCAAACAGGTTGAGGGATCTGATGCCTGAATGGATCCATGGAGATCAGGTGGGCTTCGTACCAGGTCGAGAGAAGGTAGAGATAACGTGCTTGAGAACCCTGAACCACTGCTTATTCAGAAGAAAAAGTAGAAAAGGGAAAGCCCG